TGGTACTTTTAGCATAAATCAGTTTGCCTTTGCCATACAGGGTCCTTCTGTGGGGTATCTTAGTTTCTCATCTGTTTCTTCCTTAAATCCTAATTACCTTTGAGTAACCGAAGAGTCTTCTGGGATTAGCACTTGAAAGATGCTACTCATAAAACTAGGTTCAGGAAGCACCTGGTGCACTAATGTAGAAGGCATGAGCAGTAGGTTTCTTGCCTTATTCCCAATCTATGTACACAACCTAAATTTATGAGTTTGGATTATATTCTTGAGCCTTTACGGTTTATAAGGGAATTTAAAAGATTTTAAAGCAGATTTTACTTTAAATCTCAGAACTGTTCCTGTGCCAGGGAACAAATTCTGAAATTTAAAGGTCAAATTGTGTACCTAATTCCTTTGAGGATTTCTAATAAAAAAATCTTTATATCTACCATTGTGCTGAGAATTTTACACATATAAAGAAAAAATCAGGGACCTGTTCCATACATTATAGATATCTAACCATATTTTGTAATTCTGAGACTAGAATGGTATTTAGTAAAATATTATATTCACCTGTTTTCACATAAGATTTAGCTAATCTTTAGCTTTTAATTCTTTAAGTTACCAGATGTCTTTTTGGTTTCTTGCTAATGTTTAGTGATTGTATGTAACTACTTGCCAATCTCTAAAAACACCTTTCCTGAAAAAATAAAACATAAATCTTGTTTACAGAACGTTATACCAGATGCTTCAAAATACTGTGGACCCTACAAACCACCCAGTATCCTAAAGCAGGATGATCCTATCTGTAAAGAGATTAGAGATGACCGTGGTCATGATACTATTGGTAATTTGCCTTTTATATCATTTTCATGGTTAAAGTTTAGTTAATTACCTTCCTGTAGCTCCTCTTCATTCTTTTTCATGTACCAGAAGTTCATTTTGATTGTTTTAACTGCCAAGTAAATGTGCCTCTCTTTTTCTCCTTCTGTGTGTGTGTTTATGTATCTCTCTCTCTATATATATGTGTGTGTGTGCGCGCGCGTGTGTGTGTGTGTAAATCTTAGCATCTGTACACAATTTGGTAAATTACTTATGCAGGACCTCTAACATCTAATGACTGTTCACAAGGGGATTTTAAAATCTTTATCTGATATTTAGTTCTTTGATAATTTAATGTTTTTTGCCATACTCAATTGACCTTAAATAATATTTTCCAAGCTGTACTGTTGAAAATTTTCATTAGTCTGCATCAGTAATTTTCTTTGGAATTACCTTGAAAAGGTATTGAAAAGTAACTGAATGATTTGACGAGTGAGAATATGGGATGTCTGCCAAATGATGCTACGAAACTAGGTCAATCAAAAGCACAAATTATACCACTGGTATAATTTTTAGTATTCCCAAGCTTCCTGTTTTTTTCTACCTGAAGTTAATGAAAGAGTGTATTTATTTTACTTTCTTAAGTAGGCTATTATAACAAAATGCCATAGAATGGGTGGAAACAACAGAAATTTATTTCTCACAGTTGTGGAGTCTGGGAAGTCCAAGATCAAGGCACTGGCAGATTTGGTGTCTGGTTAGGGTCTGTTTCCTGGCTTATAGATGGCTCCTTCTCACTGTGTCCTCACGTGGCAGAAGGGGCTACCTAGCTCTGTGGGCTCTCTTATATAAAGTCACTAATCCCATTCATGAGGTTTCCACCCTCATGGCCTAATCACCTCCCAAAGGTCCACCTCCTAATACCATCACCTTGTAGATTAGGGTTTCAACATATGAATTTGGTGGGGACACAAACATTCAGGCCATAGCAGTTACCAACTGCTCAATTATTTGATTATATTGAGGTAAACTTTAGGTACCTAAAATGATTTTTTTTTTTAACTTCTAGGCATGGTTGTAATCCACAAGATGGGACAAACTGCTGCTGGTACATCTACAAATGGTTTAAAATTCAAAATACCTGGGTTAGTGTTTCCAAAAGAACAGATCTCTCAAATATATATTGAGTGTAAAGCAATATGTGCTGGGTGCTGTGGGGGATGCAAAATGCAAAGCACATCTGTGGCCTCACAGCTGAGATAAGTAAATGTATCTGACCCTCTGCTGAGTGCCAAAGGAGGAGTCATAGCCAGGGCTGTAGAGTTCAGGCATGGCAGAGTGATCTGTTTAAGCTGGGGTAGTTAGGAAAGCCAGTAAAGCGATGCTAGGAGCTGAGCCCTGAGTCCGTGGAAGGGAGGGGGAACATCCAGGCAAAGGCTGTAGCAGACACAAAGTAGTGCACACTTTAGGTTCCGGACTGCCGCTGACTGGAAAAGAAACTGCACATCATGTGAGGGTGGGGGTGGGGCAAGATGTGCGGACTGAAGGTAAGAGTGAGCGGGAAGACCAGAGCTAGGTTTCAAGGGGACTTGAGTCAGTCTAAGGGGTTCTGGGTTTTATTTTGAACTAATAAAAGGGCATAGAAGGTTTATCATAAGGGAGAACTTTGGTAAAAGTTGGCATATTACGTAGGAAGTAGGAATACATTATAGGTAAGGGAAACCAGTTTTGAACCTATTCTGATGATCCAGAAATTAGATGATGTAGGGTGGTAATAATAGAATAGTCACCGTGAATCTGTGCCATCTTGGTATATAACTGGCTGATAACACATTTTTAAAAATTAATTTATATTTTAATTGACAAAAATAATATTTATGATATATAGCATGGTGTCTTGATATACACATATGGAATGGCTAAATCAAGCTATTTAACATGTATTATCTTATATACTTTTTTTCATTGTGAGAACACTTAAAATCCATTCTCTTAGCAATTTTCAAATATATAATACATTATTATTAACTGTAGTCACCATATCTTGAACTTTTTCCTCCTAACTGAAATATTCTGTCCTTTGACCCACATCTCCCCAATCTCTCCACCCCCCATCCTCTGGTAATTACCATTTTAATCTGTTTCCATGAGTTTGACTTTTTTACACTGTACCTATGATAAATTTTTACATAATTAATGTAAGGTTCATGAAAACCTAAGTTAAAATAAAAATGTTTCCTCTGTATTCTGATGAAGAATTTACTTAAAACAATGATCAGTGAGGAAGTAGAAATATCCCCTACTTTTGAAACAGCTCATAACATAATTTAGTTTAGTCTTGATTTCCTGTCCAAATTTATTTTGCTGTACCCTCACAAAGTCGTATAGGAGATTCACCGATACCTGGAGCTGGGGCCTATGCTGATGATACTGCAGGTGCAGCTGCAGCCACTGGGGATGGTGATACACTGATGCGCTTTCTACCAAGGTATGACTTTTCACATTTGTGAGTTTCAGAGATCTTTAGAGAAGATATTTTCTCTGTCAAAATAGAAAATAATTATTTGTACCACATAATCTGAATTTGTGTGCCCAAGAGCTTTTTTAGAAACACTGCATACGAACTTTTTACCTATCATTTTGTTAATGATAATCATTCAAATTAAGCAGTCATAGTCCTGTGAATTAGAATAGTATTTCTCACCCTACTTCACAGATGAGAATACTTATGATCTATTTAAATAAGTTATGTAAGGCTACTGAGTAAAGAAATTGTAATAATTTAAGATAAAAGTAGAAAGTGCAGCTATTGGTTACAATTAATTACTACAGCTAAATGTTTTGCACAGGCATAGTATTTTCCCCTTTGATTGCAGCTCCTTTTCTCATATAAATATAACTTCTATTCTCTATTACTTCTGGCTGTTATTATTAAGTAACACTTTTTCAGCCAAAGCCAAAATAATAGTCCTTATCTGAAATTAATAGGTGGATTAGTTGAAAAGATAGATATTGTATCAAGGTTTACTTGCTTTGATGTTGATGTTTTAATAGGAGTTACGGACTCTTGTTCTTTTATATGTATTCTATCAAATGTGACCATTTTGCTGGTTTAAAATTTCTAACTTTAGGGGCCGGCCCAGTGGCGCACTGGATAGTGCGCCGCTTGGGAAGCGCGGCGGAGCTCCCGCCCGAGGGTTCGGATCTCACATACAGACCGGTTCCCGCTCACTGGCTGAGCGAGGCGCGGGAGCAACACCGAGGGTTGCAATCCCGTTGCCGGTCCCCGGTCCGGTACGGGGGCAACACTGAGGGTTGCGATCCATTGCTGGACACGGAAAAAGACAAAAAAAAAAAAAAAAATTTCTAACTTTAAGTAACCCATTTCTTAGTATTTATTCTACAATACTAAAGTTTCACCTCTCTTTAAATCAGCTATCAAGCTGTAGAATATATGAGGAAAGGAGAAGATCCAACTATAGCTTGCCAAAAAGTGATTGCAAGAATTCAGAAGCATTTTCCAAAATTCTTTGGGGCTGTTATCTGTGCCAATGTGACCGGAAGTTATGGTAAGTTGTATTTGGATTTTGTACTCATGTGAACTCGCAAATGTTTATAAAAAATATACTTTTAAATATTACAGCATACAGTATACTGTATTCAATAGAAAAAGGGACTGGACATAGTAAGCACTAGGTAAATGTTCACTGATGATCTGTCAAGACCCACAGTGTTAAAAATATACCTAAAACCCTCCTGTGGTTGACTTCTGGTAGTTATAATCCAGTCTTTGGCCGTTAGTTTTTATCTTTCACATCTGTCCTAAACAAAGTTTAGCTTAGCTCCAGTACATGTTGAGATGGGGCAATCTAGTCAGATGCTTTTACTAAGTAGGTTAGGGATAAATTATCCTCCCTACTACTTTTCTATTCATTATTTAAATGTCTCAGCCATTTAGATCTTCTTGGGGCTCCAAAGAACAAAATGTATTACTAATCAGTAAATGAAAGAAGTTAGCAGAATTATTTTTGCTATGTGTTTGGAGCATGTCTTTTGCTTCATTTACTTTCCATATGAGCCTGTCACAGTTTCAAAGCATTTTAAGATAAACCACTGCTGATTCTCATTTGTGAATTTTCAGATGGGAAGATATACAGCTTACTGATCAATATGACTTATAAGGTTAGACTGCTTATTATAGTTCTTTGATCTTTTACTTCCCACAGTTGTGTGTTTGAAAAACTTGTTTGAGAAATTCCTTATTCTTTTAAGTACTAAAATATAAAAGTTGATAAAAGTTATGGGAGGGGAAAGGCTTTATGTATAAAATAAGTTTGTTTCATTTATTCTCTCTTAAGAAGTAAACCTTAGAAAGTTCAAAGTTATATCTAACAGGATGGAAAAATGATAATCATGTAATTGTAGATGAATAGTTTCTTATATTTAATGTAATGACAGTAGAAGGGGAACCCCTCACCCCAGATGTTTGAGCAGAAGATGAACTTGATTTTCAGAGTATTTTGACAAATAAATCTTCTTACTTTTGATAAGAATAGAAGCATAGAAAAGAATAGGGAGAAATCGTGGGGTGGTTTGGAGGATTATGGATGAATGATGGGAATGATCTAGTGGCTAATGAAATAAAATTTGGGGGATGCGTCTGAATAAATTTTTCTAAGAAAAGGATTTGAAAACAGTAAAATAAAAGTGGTGGTGGTGGTATGTGTGTAGAACAGAAACTCAGCCTGTTTTCTGAAGTTTAAAGAGATGGCTTACACCCTTATCTCTTTCTTTCCTCTCATGCACTGTTAACTATTCAGTACGAAGGAAACGACACTAGTACACTTCTGTGTGGCTTAGCTGGACATGAGGTGTACAGTAGCCAGTATCAAACCAAATCAGCAACACGTGTATTGGTTGTAAATATGTGCATCCTATATTTAACCAAACAACTTTCTCTTTTTTGGCCCCAGGTGCTGCTTGTAATAAACTTCCAACATTTACTCAGTTTAGTTTCATGGTTTATAATTCTTTAAGAAATCAGCCAACTGAGGAGAAAGTAGACTGCATCTAATCCATCCTTTCAACCAACATCTATTTAAAGAAGGAAACAAAGGCTGAAAAGGTTACTTAACTATCATCGTGTGGTGTTCCTTGTGTATTCTAAGGTCTTTATGTAAAATCAAGCACAAAAATAAATTTATGCTGAAGTGGCACTTTCACTTTCTGTATCTGAAATTTTTTTTATATCTATTTTTATTTAAACTTTGTATATCTCCTGAAAATGAATATGTATATGTGTGTGTTTTGTATATATTTAGATTTTAAGTGATATTTGGGTTTATGATTGATGTTGCAGGAAATAGCTACTTGGGGGATTATTTCCACAGTGATATATTAGAGCCAAAAGAAATCATTTATATTTGGATACTTAAAATAATTAGAGTGTACAAGTTTTTTAGACAAAAATGTAACAGTGAGTCTCAGCATGATTAGTCCTGATTGAATTTCATGTTACAGTGATACGTCTCTTACCTCTGATTATGAGTTTTACCTAGTATTCCCTAGTAACTTGAAGAGGGAAGAATGCTATTAATAATGTAAATGCTTTTTGTTTTGCACGTATTAGAAAATATGGGCAATCTTCTGATGAGCAATTGTGTTGATTTTCTTTGCTTTTTCGCTCCAATGAAGCTCTCAATGTGTGAAGGTTCTTAAACCACAAAAATATCTGACCTTCAGCTACTAATATATAGTATTGATCATTTCTTTTGAAAATGATTTGGAGAACTTGATCGATACCTTGATTTCACTAATCTCTTGTGCAGAGTTGCAGATCAGCACTAAGTCAATAAATGTGTTGTCTAGCTTGGTATCCTAACTTCTGAATTAACTGTCTCTGACTGACAGCTATGCAGAAGTTGTGTGTATGCTTCCTCAGCATCATCTTTTCTTTCAAAATTATTGTCTTTTAAATCAGGAGTTATTAATAAATCTTCATGTACAGTATTATCCACAAACTTTAGTATTTCTGTCTGTTTTTTCTACACTCATCTTAATGTTTAATGTTCTTTATAATTTAGGGTAGAAAGCTATAGTTTTCAGAATGGTATAAATCACTTGTTCTCAGACCTGGCTATGTATCAGAATTGTCTAGGGAACCTCTTTAAGATCACCCTCTATTCTGTCCCACTAAATCAGATTCTCTGCAAATGAGGACCTGTATTACTCTGTTTCTGTTGCTTATAACAAAATACGCAGAACTGGGAAATATAGAAGAAAACAATATTTATTGCTTACAGTTTCAGAGGCTAGGAAATTCAAAGTCCGGGGAACACATCTGGTAAGGGTTTTCTTTGGTGGTGGCTTTACAGCAGTGCAGTGGTCTCACATGACATAAAATGGCAGAGCAGAGAGAGAGAGAAACTCAGAACCATGCCCCTGACCACCATTATTAATCCGTTCACTTTGGCATGGTGTTATGATCTAATCACCTCTTCAAGGCCCCTCCTTTCAATTACCATAATAGAATGTCCCACCCTCAACAGTTACAGTGGGGGGGGGGCAAGTTTCCAATACCTGTAACTTTGGAGGACACAATTCAATCAATCCACAGCAGGACTTCAAATCTGGAATTCGCAACTGCTCATGGTAGCCTGGAAGCTAAAACGGAAACAACCCAACAGTTTCACACTCACAGAACAAAAGAGGAAATCTTACTTTTGAGGGTTCCCATGAGGTATGCCAATTTGCTTAAATATGATACTGGACCTTGGAACAAGGGAAAGAAACCAGATTTAAACTTGCAGTATATTTATTTTAAAATGATAATCCCGTTTTGAATATGTGCTATCTGTTAATAAGTTAGGCAGTTATTTACCACCAGGAAAAGGAGAATTTGGAACAAGGGAAAGAAACCAGATTTAAACTTGCAGTATATTTATTTTAAAATGATAATCCTGTTTTGAATATGTGCTATCTGTTAATAAGTTAGGCAGTTATTTACCACCAGAAAAAGGAGAAAGAAGTTGAAAGTATTCACGGACTGTCACTCCCCAGCAACTTAATAGTTTATCTGACAAAAACAACCCACGTATTTTCAGAAGGTATTTACCCTCTAACACATTTTTCTTGATAGAATTAATTTCCCTGTATATCTAAAGTAGAAAGAGATGGAATTAGCTTTGGAAATACAGTTTACAGTTCTAGATTTGAATATAATATTTAATTAAGTATTGCAAATAAGTTGTCCTTTCTTTTGAAAAAATGGAATTTTTTTTATCCCTGCTGATGTGTACAGAAGGAACTCACTTCTTTGGTGATGTTTTGATATCAGTGTTCTCTGGTTGTAGGGAAGACATGGAGGAAACTAGTGAAATAGCACAGTTGGTAAAGGGATTGTGAGCCATTCATAAATAAGTTGAATTTAGAAATAAATATTCTACCAAAAACTGGAAAAAGCAAGAAAGTAACCTGGGAAGGGAACCTTAGGAAATCTAATCATGATCTAATTTTTCATGAGGATAGTGGGTGGTGTACTTCACATGTATACTGGTTGTATCGCACAGATTTCATAGTGGAGGGTAAAGGTAAGAGGTGGTCACAGAGCTTTCTTCCTCTTTCTGCCAAGTTTTTTTTCCTTTGACCCTATAGAAAAATGATCTATTACTTGCCTACTTTGGCGAAATTAGAATGTCCTAAGCATATGTATAGATTAAGCAACTTTTCTAAGTCATTCTGAGAACATGCATGTTGTCTCTTCTCTCTCCCATTTCCAGAGTATCTTTCATCTCATACAACATTACTAGCATAGCCTTGGAGTTCAGTGGGCTTAAATTTGAGCATTATCTTCACTCAGTTAAACAGCAACTTTTAGAAAAAGGAAGTTATTTATGTATCAGCAATATCAGAATCTTGATTATTACCCCAGAGGCTTCCAGTGAACTTCACTCAAGTGTTTTATTTTATTTTATTTTTTTCCTTTTTGTCTTTTTTCGTGACCGGCAACGGATCACAACCCTCAGTGTCGCGCCCGTACCGGACCGGGACTGGCAACGGGATCGCAACCCTCGGTGTTG